ACGGATATTGGCATCACGGTTTATTTGTGTAGACATTAATGCAAATAAACTCTTATTGACAGCATAACCATGAGCGGTTTATACATATACAACATACGCGGACACCTTTTTATATTGGATACAGAGATTTATTAAAGCCGGTAACTGAGTACGAAAACAAATGTGATCAATTGATTTATGTTTAATATTCATAAAACACGGTCTAAATAATAAAAGCAAAAAATAAATAAATAAATAAATAAATAAATAGCTTCTATCCTAATAAATTAAATAAATTCTTCCAAAGAAAACGTTTTTGGTTATGGTCATCAAAACGTTTGAGTAGAAAAAAAAATGCACCTATACTACATATTAGATATTATTTTTTATTACTCGCTACGTGTTATGTAAAGATATATAGCGACGATCGTTTTCAATAAATCAAATTGATTCAATGAGCAATATACGTATATTATAAAATATATAAAAAAAATAAATTAAATTATTCACCACGAGTTTATTTGAATATACGAGTATGGTCTATTTTGGTTTAATTTATTAATTGTAAGTAGCCATATTGTATCTATACATACTATTATAAGCAAGGAACTAAATCCAAATGCGTTTGCGCGAATAAACTAATTAAATGTGATTATCGCCTCAAGAAATCTCGATAGAACGAACACCTCTTCTTAGATACCTACGGGTGCGTAATTCGAATTAAAATCGTAAATAAATATTATAATATTCAACAGACCCGCACGAAAAACTTATATTAAAATTGAATTGTTACTGTTGTCGCCGTAAATGTGTAATATATAGTTATGGACTTTAAAGAGGATTGACGGGGAAAAAAAACTATAATTCGTATATGTCTGTTTTTTTTTTTTATTTATTATTTTATTATTTACAGTGGTTTAGATAAGAAAATATCACGCTAGTAATCTAGTAATAACTCATGGGTGTCCAACTAACATCTAAATGTGTAAACTGACGACGAGTGTGTAAATTATCAAAACTTAATGTAATTATATTACATCCGATTTTATGGCACTCGTTGTTTTTTACGAAGACGATACTCGCCCGCACATTTCGGCTAATGAAGATGTACAACACACGTTGAATGATATTTGACACAAAATCAAGTTCTATATATTTATAATGGTCTAGGCATGACGTTGCTACCTAAAATATATTGTTTATACATGTATATATCCTTGAACAAATGGTTATGACAAAAATAAATAATTCGTCTACGAAACGCAAAATACTGTTTCGCTTAATTGTACACGCACGCAGCACAATATTTTGCTTATTGTCATAAGTATTGAGTCTTACTTGTATAGCAAGTCTAAGCAGACCGTTTATAACGTAAGACCCTTACCTTATTGCTACGAATATTTTAGCATAACAAATAAAAAACGTACTACTCGTTTTAGACGTTACTTGAAGTTAGTACGTTTCAAAAACAGAAATACAATTAGGAATTTCGCCACGACATTCTTACGATGGCACCAAAAATAAAAACCTGTCAGATTCTACGAAACAAAAACTGCAGACCGATGGGACCATTAATATAATTTGAATCGGTTGAAAAAAAAAAAAAATGGGCGTATGCCGTCATCACATTGACATACAATATTGCACGTTACTCTCTGTATGTGTAAAAAAAAAACAGAATGATTTCAGTCGGTCACAACCACAGTTTATAACCAACCATTTCGGTGTTACTACGCCCTATAATAATATTGTGTGTTGAATAAAAAATATAAGAAATAATTAGCTCCATGTTTTAGAGACGTGCCGTGACGAATACAATGAAAAACGACGAATCTGCAGTTACTGTAACTTTTAAATCATTTACAACTATACGTAATACATTGTGTGTGGCATTTTTTGAGGTATATGTTATATAGATTTGGAAAACAATCGTTTATTCTGTTTAAAGCATCCACTTGATAGTTATACTACAATTATCGTGTCTAGGAAACATATAACTGATACGACTTCAATCCTCGTCATAATTTTCTGTAAGAATTAGTCGACATGAATATTGATTGTTGATGACAAATATTGATGTGCAGACGCTTCACAATGAAGTAAAATATAGCACTACGGAGAATGGTGAGCGCCTCGGACGTAGGATCATCCGGACTCTTAAAAACAATAGTTGATCGATTTTGAGTGAAAAAAATAATTTATGGTTGGGAGAAACGAATTATCAGAAACATTTTACATTTACACTAAATAAGTTTAAATGTAACACAATTATTATTTATTCAAATCTAACTAGTAGAAATGTGTAAGTCGGAGAAACCAAATTTTATAAGCTTATTTACTGGGCGAATTAACTCAATTAAAAATCTAAACACGACCAACTTTATGCGCACACAAGTAGTTACATAATGTATGTTATACTAAACGTGGATATCGCTAAGAACTATTATTTTGGTCCAAATGTTTATAACGAGGGATCACCAAGATAAACTAATAAAATTGGCATACAAAAATATCAGTAAGATACTTTATTATCGTATAGAGAGAGGTGAGAGACCTACAACTATTAATTTGTATGCATGCGAAATAAGGAATTAATAATAAACAAGTCGGTAGTTTTAGTACGAACAATGTCGTATATAAGTGAGAAAAAAAATAATAATAATGCCAATATTAAAAACATAAAATAAATGCCTTTAGTCGCAATATTGCAAAAAATCTGTTTTAATTTTCCATAATTAGAACAATAAATATATAAATGTTTTAAATTAGACGAGTCTTAAATTTGGGTCTTACGGGACTATAATCAACAGGTGAGTATGAAGAGAACGTATTTATTATAATTTCCATTGAAGATTATGTTTAAGTGATCATTATAATAAATAATAAGAACATTAACTATACAATATAATAATATATTTAGACTTGTCCGTTAATTTTACTGGTTATAAAATTAAATAACGCGACAGCTCAAGTAAATCCATTGATAATATAATAACCGACATAGCCTATATATGAAGATACTTTACTGACGTACATTTTATATCGTGTTCCGAATCAGGGTACTAGTGCAGTATAAATAAATAATTAATACAACTATGTAGGTGTGAAAAAATAAGATAAAAATTACAGAAAATAATGTCACAAACAAAAAACGTCAAAGTCCAAAAGCATTAAAACAGTAACGAAAAAAGTCAAATTAAAAGTTTCAGTTTTGATCAGAACAAGAACGAATAAAATTGCCTTCTTTTTATAATAGCTATTTGAGTTTCAATATACTATTGTATAAAGTATTCGAATCGGTCTTAAAAAGTTTATTGTGTGACATTGTAAAATACAGTATACAATGAAGTTTTTTTTCTACTGCTCATTGACCAATGATAAAGTGTCCTGTAAGTTGATGGAAATTCATAAATATTCGATACAATATACATTTTCTTTGATATTTTTTATTGGGAATAATCTCATGAAAAAAATCTCTAAAAATGTAGTTATTTCAATATAATTGCATATGCACTATGGTATTTTATGGACATATATAAACCACTGACCATGAAGTTTGTATTGTTTATTCGATGTAACGATTATAATTTTTCAAATAATTAATTTCAATGTATGAAAAATCACGGAAAATAATTTTTGAAATTTTTGAACTGTAAAACAATATTCTTTCGAAATAGTTAGTGGTCTAAAATTATACTTACTATATACACGGACTTATTATGCTCAATTTAAAAATCATATACAAGGCAATAATGATACTTAAAATTAACAAAGAAATAAAAATTACAGTTTAAAACAATATTGTTTGACTTATTGTTATGATTTTGTGTTCATCTAACATTTATTGTATTGTGTGGTACGCTAGTCTTAATCTGCATAAACACTTTTTATACAGTATTTTCAGAAGGCAAATATTTTTCTCTTAAGATATTCATAAGGAAATAAAATTCTAATAAAAACCATATCAGATATAAAAATAAACATTTAATTATAATGTTAATAGAAAAACATATAGAATAAAATATTTTTATGATATGATTTCGTGTTACACGATGGTTATGAAATAAAGAAAACATTTTTTTTTTCAACTATTTTTCAACTACCGTTGTAATTGAATATATGTTGGACATTTATTAGTTTAAATATTTTAATGTTTGTTCAAAGTATTCTTCCATCAAATGTTGTTAATTGCAACTTATTCATGTTATAAATATCTATAGCAAGATCTTCCATATTATTCTATGTAATCAATTACTAATAGAATACCTGTTATTTATTAGAATAATTCGAAACACTAACGCATATTTACATTTGGATACAACATGAAGTCAACAGATTATATCTTAATAGAACATGCCACCAATTAAATTGTTATGTTACATTATAAGCCTTCGCGTAAAAGAATTTCATCCATTAGAGTAATTTTCATAAATATGAGATTAAGGTAAAATTGTTCTCTGCATATCATGGAAAAAATTACCAAGTAATATGCATTAGCACAACTATATATGGTATATATACATAAACGCATAAACGCAAATGCATTACTAAGTCAAATATTACACACATTTTAAATGTTTTTAGAAACGTTAATACAGACCGGGATTTTTTAGAGTTAAAATTTTACAACCACTCAGGTACACATTAGCATGTACCAATATATTATACACAAATAATTTCAGATAGAATTTATTAAAAAAAAAAAAAAAATCCCACAAACCCAAAGTTTAGAAAACAGAAAATGGAGGGATTTCTAAAAACGGTAAAACTTGTTTTAAATCCTAAAGATCCTCATTAATCTCGCTCCTCGCTCTAGCAGTATACTTGCAGTGTTTTGCAAACTTTGTTTCGGTTTTATTTAGTCGTTACGAATAATGACTTCATAATTATAGAAAATTCATAAAACATTGAAATGAAATATATACAATTAAAACAAAATAAAATAAAAAGTTAATACATTAATATAAAATGGCGAAAGAAAAATATTATTAATTTTTTCTTTCGTCGAGTAGGTTAGGTACCTTATATCCACCACACTTGTGACAGGCGATCACGTCTCCGTTGTGTTTGCTGGTGGTTTTGTGCACACCACTACTACCGAAATTGCTGTAGTACGTCATTTTGAGACATTTGGGACGACGAAAATTGCAAAAAAAAAAAACAAAAAAGTGACGAAACGGGACAAAAATAATGTGTTCGACGGCAAAGTAAACGACGAAAAGGAGAGAAAAAAAAAATTATTTTTTTAGAAAAACAAAACGCAAGAGGCAAACGACGAATTATATGATATATATTATATCGTTAAGGGTCTCGGGTGGTGCGCGGAACTAGAGACTCGTTGTCGTGGTCGTTCGGGGACGAGACGCGCGGCACGTTTGTCACTCTCGTACAGAGACGACGGCGCGATTTTTCGTGAACGCGGCGACCAACACGCTCACTGTCGGACTGCGGACTGAACGAACTCGGCCGCGCGTGATCCTCGCGCGCGTTTACGGTCCGTATGCCGCGGCGGCACATTATAATATATACACCTATACGTTTATATATATATATATATATATATATATATATATATAAATGTATACATCTGTATACTTTTATATTATATTCGTGTTAATATACATATCCTTTACCGTGTACTTTGTTTAGGGTACAACTCGCGTTGTGCTTAAAATATTTTTGGTCTACGCGTACATTTACATCATTATATTATATAGTTGTATTCACTGCCTGTTGACTTCGTATCGCTTGAACACGTGTGTAACAAAGATGCATTGAACGTATAAAAATGTATGTGTATGTATATGTTTGTGTGTGTGTGTGTGTGTGTGTGTGCGTATCATAAATATGGGTGGGCGAGAAACAATCGAAATCTACGAAAAACCATAGCGCTCTTTGGACTTATTTAATATTTAAATCTTATCGGGATTGTTATTTTTTATTTTCAGAATTAAAATTGTACCCATATTATATTGTAAAGGTTATATTATATTATATTATAATATATTATATTATATAATATAATAATATTATATTATATTCTCAATTATAATTCTATATAATCTTTCAACGACGAGAAATTGTTCACCAGTACATCTACATTAAGTGAAATAAAAATATGCATTTGAAGTGTATTATGATTTATTTGAAGAAAAATGTCAAAAAATTTACATTTTAGAAATCAAAATTGGTAATAATTATTTATCAAAATATATTCTACACACATTTTAAAAATTAAATCTGAATAAATTAGTTATTGGCTATTCCCCCCCCTCCGACTTCATAATGCTGGTAGCATCAATGTTTGCATGCACGCGTGTATAGATGTGTGTTTTGATAATTACAGTGGACATACACACATATACAGAGAAACACAAGAAAGAAAAAATAATAAAACAAATGTCAAAGGAATAAAAAACAACATTATTATACTATTATTAAGTACAACACTTCTTCGTCGGCACGGCGTCGACGGCCGTGTGTGTAGATATGGCGAAAAAAATGAGAAGCAAACGTCATACGTATCAACAATAAACAGTTACTGTTATTACAGAAACGATAAATATAAATATATATAGTTTTCGGGAGAACATCTCCGACGGCGGAAATCACACCACGCATGTAAATACTCGTAAATAATTTTATGCACTATACACTCAGAAAAAGAGCACAAACACCAAAACTGATTTAGCCGTTTTTGAATTAATAATGTAATAGTTAGCTAAATCGTGAAAGTTTAATAACAAAAAATATATGTATAAAACTTACTCATGTTCATGATATTTAAGGCAAATATTATTATGTAAATGCTTAATATTTTTTATTTATTTATTTATTTTTTTTTTTTTTGTACCCAGATAAATTTAGGAAGTTGTTTTATTACTTAATTGTTTTTTTATCAACAACTTATTCATTATTAATCCTGTTATAATAAAAAGATTTTAGTGTACTGTTTCTATACTTATATTAAACAATTTAAAATTAAGCTTATTATAAATGTGTATAAATAAATTGATTATATAAATGTATAATCAATCTATAAATATAAACTTAAGTTTTTGATCATTATTATTTATTATCGTTTTTTTTTTACTTCTCCAAAATTTTCAACAAAATTTATCGTTAAAGAAAGTATAATAGTATAATATAATATTATAAGTAGTAATAAAAATAGTATAATAGTTATTGAATTAATATACCATAGTATTTGGTTTTTTTAATATTAAGTTATATTTGTACGACTCAAAACACCTATTTTATAAGTTGTTAAGTACTCAAAAATATAAAAATATAAGTCCAATTGTTTTCTTAGAACTTTATTTAATAGTTAAGCTTTTTAAATTAATTGTGATCGATTTACTAAGTTACAGGAAACGGACAGACTAAAACAAAGTTATAAATATTTTGTGCACTAAAATTAATAATGATACAAAATACAGATTATGACATGACGCTTAAATATTAAGGGCCAACAAAAATTTTTTTTATTATTAAAATGTTCACATCAGTTAAATACTGAGAATACAATGTAAATGTATAATATACAATAACAAAATATAACTGTCCACTTGTTTTTATTGTGTTCAAAATGTGCGGTCATCCTAACATTTATAATTATAACTGTACTTATACTTATTCATATACTTTTATTTTTTTATGATAACTGTTATTTTATATTTTTGAGTTCATAATTGTTGAATATAATATATTGTTGGTATATGAATATTATTTATTTTTATACAATTTTAAATTATTTTAAATACATTCAAACATAATGACAATTGCTGTAGCTGAAACTACAAAGACGAATTACATTTAATTTGTCAATTATAAAATTTTGAATGAATCAAAAAAATGTATTGATTTTTCTATGACGTGTGATTTAAATTTTTTTCTTTTTTTTTTTGCTTGATTACCAGACTTAGGTACTATATTAAACACCAAAAGTCAGTGGTTTCTGAAAATAAATTTTATCTAGTTTGTGCATTAAAGTAATACTTAGAATTTATCAATAATTTTCCAAATAATTCTGTAAAGCTAACGACAAATATATATTTTGAAAACTCATTCCTCTATTAGTTTAAAGTTCAAAAACTGACGATTGACAACGCCATAAATACCCCAACATAGAACATTCAAGACACCACTCAAGTCTACCTATTTAAAAAAAAATCCAAACAAAAACACTACTACCCCACTCCCCAAAATAAGAGCTCATTCTGTTCAAATGTCACTAATATCAGTTTAAAATACTTAGTTACACTTGGTAATAATATCCAAATACGGGGAAAGGGGTTTTTCTTTATCGCCTGCCGTCGCCGTGCCAATTTATTTGGCACCGACTATACTATATTATGCATGATTCTAAAACAGATCTCATAATACGAGATATATACTATAAATCTATATTTTATCTTTGTAATTCATAATATTATTGATTATAAATATTTAGAATATAGTAGGTTATAATCGTAATCATACATCAGACAAGAAAAGTAAAATACCTCGATTTAGTACTTGATAAAAGACTCACTTGGGGACCACACATAAATAATAAACGTTAATAACTGAACAGCCGCCTACATACAGGGCCGTATTCAGTACAGGGCAAGAGGGCATGGGCCAGGGGCGCAATTCTAAGAGTGGCGCAAATTTCAACACTACTTATGTAATATTTTTCACGAAATATGAATATGAAAAATATGTAAGTAGTAATAACAATTTCATTTGATATTAATACTATACAAATATTTATTAAAATTTATTAGTAATTATAATCTTGTATACTATGTTTTTTATACATGCTTTATATACTTCAAATGATTTTTTGTAAAAAAAAAAATGTGAATTTCCCATTGAGAGGGCGGGCTCAAATACAGTTATACGTCAGGGGCACTACCAAAACTCAATAAGACCCTGCCTACATATCCTACGATTACTCCTGAAATCAAAAATTAACACCACTAATCATCTACTATTATTTAAAAGCTTACATTAACCTTTATGGTATTATAGAATAGCTCTCTGGGGTTCATTTAAACTAATTAAGACAAAAACCATCCAATATTTTCAAGCCATCTACCTACGAATGACTACTAACGCTCCTTGGTACTTAACTAATGTCAGTATTCACAATAAGCTAAAAATCGGTACTAACCAATAAACAGCTGCCACATTCTACACTCGCTTCCACTCCAAAATGTCCGATCATCTCAATAGCCTCATCGCTCAACTTCGTTTTAAACATCTTCCAAGAAATCCAATTAGACGATTCAATTGCAAAGACCTAGAGATCAATTCAATATCTGAAGCTTATATTTTAAATAAATCATTCAAGTTCAGGTATTTCTAATGTGAAATTCTTTCAAGTCTCTCATCGTTCTTTCTCATTCCACAGCTACATTGTTTTCTTATGCACCCTAGTAATGATTGAAAATAACTTATCATAATAAACTGTTAAAAAAAAAAAAAAAAAAAAAAAAAAAACAATTATTAGTTCTTACAAAAATTAACTCAACAACTTAATTAAAAATGTGAGATTTAATAATATCTTAAACAATTGTTATTTAATTGGATACCTAATTTCTAATTTAATAGTATTAACTAAATAGGTATCAGATGTAATAAATAAATACTCATATTAATGTAATTATAATTTTCTTATTCATCCTAACTATAAAACCAAATTGAAATATTTTTAAAGCTTGACAATTATGCATTTTTTTATTTCTACTTGCCATGGTCCACAGTAACTTCTATGGATAAACAATTATATGATAATATAATATAATGTTGATCATCAATTAAATAAAAAAAATTAAAAAGTATTATGTTGGTATGTTTAACTTTTGATGTAACAACTAGTTAGGTTTATATTCTTTATTTATTAAATGTTCGAAATTTTATAGAAAAAATTATGATGTTGTTTTAGTTCGATAATTGAATATAACTTAAGAGGACATAGTACCCGCATGCTTTGTCTTAAGTAAGTTATGATCTTTTTTAAAATATACAGTTTCAAAAACATCATAACTTACTTCAAAATAATAATATCAATAAAAAGCTACGTGAGACCCTAGATAATAATCTTACTTTTAAATTGTATAATAGGTCAATTTACCCTATTATTAAAACTAACAGCACATTATTGAAACTGATGAATGAAAATTTGATACATCGTACATGTGTAAGACGGAGACAACACATGCGGGTACTACGTCCCATAAATTTTAAGAAAAAATTTAGTAGTGTAGATAAAAAATCCTAAACAAAGTAAAGTTACCTAAAAAATTAGAGTACTTAAGAAAAATATATATAAATGTATAAAACATTTATACCTACTAAGAGCTTACAGTTTATTTCAACTGAATGGCATATTTCACAATATAGGGCTCAATAGATTGTTTATTAGTAGAGCGCGGATTTATAAGTATTAAAATCTAACTAAATATGTGATAAAAA